TCTGGTTCCCAGACTGTTGGATGGTGTCTGTCCCCCTCCTCGGAGACCCTGTGGGCAGCTTTGAGGGCCACTGCGATAAGGAGGGTTCTCGTGAGGGGCTTCACCTGCCATGAAATCTCTCCCCAGGGGTCTGTGGCCTGATTGTCCCCCAAGAAGACATGCCCTTTTGTGACTCTGGCATCTGTCCGGACATCATCATGAACCCTCACGGCTTCCCATCACGCATGACGGTCAGTTGCTGACGCCTGTGAAGGCACCGCGTTGAGGGGGACATCAGGTGGCCCACGGGGGTCGTCAGCGGCAGGGAGGGCGTGCTCTTAGACCCCTGTGAAGTCTGCAGCAGGTCCCTCACTGCTGACAGTTCTGGCCCGCACTCCTCTCCAGAGAAGGACGCTCTCTGAGTCCTGAACCCGCCCCCCCAGCAGGGTCCCCTGGTTCTTTCTCACAGTCCTGGCTCCACTGCGTCCCAACTGTGTGACCCTGGGGAAGTTACAGAACCTCTCTGTTCCTCAAGTAGAAAGCCAGGAACATGGTGCCTCTCTCATCAGGGTTTTGAGAGAGCGAACTGAGCACACACCCGCACGGCTGTGTGCCGGCCTGTTACTTCACCGGCGTTAGGAGTGGTAGTCTCCATCTCCTGGCCGTTGGGGGAGATATCCTGGGGGATGGGAGTTGGGGGGCTCACTCACTCGCTCTGTTCACACCCCACAGGTGGGGAAGTTGATTGAGCTGCTGGCAGGCAAGGCTGGCGTGTTGGACGGCCGGTTCCACTATGGCACTGCATTTGGGGGCAGTAAGGTGAAGGACGTGTGTGAAGACCTCGTCCGACATGGCTACAATTACCTGGGGAAAGACTACGTGACGTCTGGCATCACAGGGTGAGTGGGGATTTGGAGGCATGGAGCGGTGGGCACTTTGATGAGGGTGGGGGAGAGCTTCGAACATGGACAGTTTCCCTCCCTTTAGAAATATCCCTGGGGGTGCCTCTCGGGCCTGCTCTCCCTTAGCAGGAAGAGGGGGGAGATTGAATGAACTAAAAAGGGCTTCTCTCCAGCTTTTAAGGAGCGCATCATGCCTATGAGCTCAGATACAGGGAGTTTCTTGAACCGTTGGACTTGTTTCTCACGGCGTTTTGATGATGACTAGTACACAAGTAGGAGTTTGGCAGAGGCTGTTGGCCTACCATTGTGTGCATTGGTTCGCCAACGTTTTCCGAGGCCAAACACAGTATGGGATGATAAAGAAGAGAGCCTGGTTCCTCTTGACCATCTAGATTCATCATTGGATGTTGCAGAAAAACAGCCAGCATCCAGTGGGGCCGGCCCTGACGGCCTGACCAAAGCATCAGCCAGTTCTAGCTCCTGCCTAACCCCTGCTTGGCGTTCCACGCTGCCTGACATGCAGGGAGCAATGCGGCCCCGGCGAGGCGCGTGGACCCTCATCTTCCTGAGACGGCTCCCACCCTGGAGCCCAGAGTCTGCTGTACAGCGTGCTCCATACTGGTGGTTGGAGGGGATGAAGGCGGAGAGAAGTGCACATACGCAGCTTTCACCAAAATGGAGACCGAGACTGCAGGGGGAGCCCGGTAGGAGGTTGCCATTTAAGCTGAGGCCGAGGGGCCATTCAAGATAGTTCTTCCAGAGGAAGGAGGAGGGGCTGGCCCTGCTGGAGTGCAGCCAGTGGGGCAGCGGAGGGGGGCCTAGGCCACGACTGGAGACAGGGCAAAGGCCAGTCTTCCTGTTAATTTGTGAAGCACAATCCTCAGAGCTCTTATGAAGGACAGAGTGTAAAACTTGGTTCATGCATGGTTTTAAAGAAGCAAATCAGTTGCTGACATTAAGTCTCTTATGTAAGGCCCCTGGGTGACACCAGTACTTGGCTCTCAACTCTTAACCTAAATGTTGGACGGTCCAAAACCACCCAGCAGTCCCACAGAAGAAAGGCCCGGTGATCGGCTTGCCAGAAAGTTACAGCCAAGAAAACCCCATGAAGCCATTCTATTCTGTGACACAGGAGGTTGCCGGGGGCTGAAACCAGTTAAGAGGCAATGAGTTAGGTATTTTATACCAGACAAAACCTCGTATCGTGCCTATGGTTCTGGTGAGGTTTTGAGTCACTTGGACAAGAGTTAGACACCCAGATGGAGCATGGATTTGGGAGCTGGAGACAAACTATCCAGATGTGATTCACAGGGTCAAGATCTAGAGCTGGTAAAAATCTCGAGAGAATTCTAAAGTAACCTATCCAGACTGTAATAACATGAGTCTCAGGTATTTCATGCTTGAGGCATGTTAGCAAAATCCCTTTTACAGTAAAAGAGTCATGGCCCATTTCACAAATGGTACAGTAAACTGCAAGGGGCCCACTGCAAACCACGGTAGTTGTCTGTGCGGAACTGACCGTCCTAGGCCTCGCGGCCAGGGCTTCCATGGGACAGGGAGTCCTTTGAGCTCGTCACACAGGCCCGTTGAGAGATGAGTGGAAGCCGGCAGACCAGTGTGAGGGTTGACTGCAGTCAAGGGGACAGAGGCCCAGTGAGGGTGGTGGTGAGGAACGTGCAGCTGGTTTCATAACGTGTCCTCCAAGTGTCTTGACATAGGCCACTGAGTGCTTCTGGTACGTCAGCACCTTGTGGAAACATTTCAGCTGACACTCCATCAGCATCTGGAGCCTTGCTTTCAGGTAACACCTGCCTGCAGTTTGCATTGCTTCTCCAGTCCCCTCCGCTTTTCATCCGCTGCCTCTTGACACGGGTGTGTCCGTGAATTCTTTTCGGTGTGGGGACTACGTATTTCTTCCATCTTCTTTTGATACCTCCTGCGTCACTCAGGATTTTGCTGATAGAGTCCTTCAGTGTTTCAACTTGAGACTTGGATTTAAAAAAATTTTTTTTTTCATTTCTCTCATCTTGAGATATGCTGAGTGTGTTCCTCAATTTTGGTTCTCTGACTCCAAACCTTTGCACATTTCCGTAGAATACTTTGTCTTCTCAAGAGCCCTTTGACCTCTTCTGTTCTCCTTTTTCTTCCATTTACCTGGTGCTGTAGTGGTACAGCATTGGGCTACAATCTTCAAGCTTCCTCC